TAAGCCTTAGCCACGGTTGCGGCACTATCACATCTGATAGATATGGTAGATATCGGTTTGAGCCATAATGAAATTTCGTAAATCAAATTCCTTAGCCACTCAGCTTCTTTACCAGCAGCAGACAATGCAACAAACTCAGATTCCATGGTTGAGTTAGTAATACAAGTCTGTTTCTTGGATTCCCAAGAAATGACACCTCCTCCAAGAAGAAACACCCAACCACTTGTAGAGGAGTGATCCTCTAAGTTGTTAATCCAGCTGGCATCAGAATAACCTTCCAAAACAGAAGGATATCTACCATAAGTTAAACCATAATTCATGGTCCCTTTTAAGTACTTGAATACTCTACTCACAACTTGCCAATGATTTGTACTAGGATTACTAGTATATCTACTAAGCCTTCCCACAACATATGTTATATCAGGCCTAGTACTAATCATTGCATACATTAGACAACCAATAGCCCTTGAATATTCAAGTTGAGACACTGAAGATCCTTTATTAGGTAGAAGCTTGAGATTATGATCTATAGGAGTGCTAACAGGAGAACAATTCTCAAAGTTAAACTTTTTCAATATCTTCTCAATGTAATGAGATTGAGAAATTGAAATCCCATTGTTTCCTTGATTAGTTCTTATACCAATAATTACCTCAACCTCCCCCAGGTCTTTCATTTCAAAACTAGATGATAAAAATTTATTGGTTTTGTCAACTTCTTCTAAATCAGTACCAAAAATCAACATATCATCCACATATAGACAAATCATAACTCCTTTACAAGAAGTATCAAATTTGCTATATACACACTTGTTAGCTTGGTTTAATGCAAAACCATTAGACAAGAAAACATCATCAAACTTTTGATGTCATTGTTTTGGTGCTTGTTTCAAACCATATAATGATTTCTTCAACTTGCATATTGTGTGTTCATTTCCAGACTTCACAAACCCTTCAGGTTGTTTCATGTATATTTCCTCATCCAAGTCACCATTCAAGAATGCAGTTTTCACATCCATTTGGTGAATCACAAGATTATGTGTAGCTGCAAGAGCTAATAATAATCTAATAGTAGAAATTTTGCAACAGGAGCATAAGTATCAAAGAAATCAATGTCTTCTTTTTGTCTAAAGCCTTAGATAACCAATCTGGTTTATACTTATTAATTGTGCTATTCACCATCATTTTTCTTTTGAGGATCCATTTACATCCTAATGCCTTACAACAAGGAGGTAAATTAGACAATACCCAAGTACTGTTATGCATGATAGAATCAATCTTATCCTGAATTGCCTCTTTCCAGAAATGAACATCCCTAGAAGTCATAGCTTCACTGAAAGTCTTTGGATCCTCGTCAATATTAAAACAACATTGATGTTGAGACACAGTCTCATCCCTTGTTCCGTCAACTAAATATAGTTGAAAATCAGATCTAAAAGATTTAGCTTTTCTAGCTCTAGTACTCTTTCTAAGTTCAGGCACAGAACTTGTACCACCATAAACTTCTTCAGCTTGAGTTGTATTCTTGCTAAAAGATTGTTGAATCATGTCCATTGGTCTAGGTATAGATGTAAATCTTTCTTCATCAAAGATAGCATCTCTTGACTCTATACCAGTGTTCACAGACACAGAGTCATTAGATTCTAAAACATAGAATCTATAAGATTTGGAATGCTCGACATATCCAATAAATATACAATCTATACCTCTTTCACCCAATGTTTTCCTTTTGGGTTCAGTGAGCCTCACAACTGCTCGACAACCCCAAACTTTGAGATAACTCAAATTTGATACCTTTTTACACCAAAGTTCATAAGGAGTATTCTTACTCCTTTTGTTTGGAGTTCTATTCAAAATATAACATGCAGTTAACATAGCCTCACCCTAGAAACCTTCACTTAAACCTGAATAGAACAACATAGAATTAACCATTTCTTTTAAAGTTCTGTTTTTCCGTTCAGCTACACCATTTTGTTGTGGTGTATAAAGAGTCGTGGTTTGATGTATTATTCCAGTTGATTCAAAATAAATCGGATCATAATACTCACCACCCCTATCAGTACGTAAAACTTATTAATTCATTTTTATGAAGTTCAACCTCTTGTTATTTTGATGTGGTGTATAAGGAGCCGTGGTTTGATGTATTATTCCAGTTGATTCTTATGCATTTTTAATACAACAACATAACCCAAATAATAAATTTCCAGGACAGAACGACGCATTTAGTCTAAGACAGATAATGTCCATTTTTAGACTAAGACGCGTTTTCCTGTTCTAAAACAGGCGCCTTATTCTAAAACAGTGTACTTTGAAACCTGATCAAACTTAAACAAGTGTGTTCTCCACACCTTCATTACTTGTTTAATATTTATCAATATCACTTTTGGTCAACAAATTAATCTCATTACACTTAAATAGCATTGAAGATAACAAATCACCAACAGATAGCAGGTCATAAGGATGTGTTTTGAACAATTCAACAAGTTCAATGAGAAAATGTGGAAAAAAAAACTCAATGACTAAATGTGTACAAATCAAAAAAAATATATTACCCTTTTAAATCATTATCCCATTATAGGAGTATCATTCATCTAAATTTAGTCTTATCCATCCAATAAGTTACGACTCATAATTGGTATATTTTAAACAATCAATTCATAAAGTGGCAAACCAGAGATTTACATATGGGTTACAAACATAATTGAAATTTAAAATATTATTTGCATGTCATATATCCCTAAATCATAAACACACATACACACATAAATCTTATTCGTTCGTTTAATCAAATGAAACAAATCTTGTTCATATTCATTCGTATTTTAGATAAACAAACTTTTATCGAAGATTCACAATATATTTTGTTCATTTACAACACTATCCACATTTATATGATTTCAAGCATAAGTTAAACTTTGGCTAATTTATATAAAAAAAAATTTAGTAAACCAATTAAAATAGTTCAAAGCTTGTTATAAATTTCAAAATCAGCTAAGGGCGTGTTCGGCACGGGGCGTTTGGAAACATTTGAGAGCTTCTAACTTCTAGCGTTTGACAAAACGCTTCATTTTGAACAGAGCCTCGTTTGACATTACAAGTTTTTAGTGTTTAGTTTAAGCAAAACGCTTCAAATCCAAATACTACTTCACGAAGCATTTAACAAAACGTTACCAGCTAGAAGCTACCCGCTATCCACTACAAGCTATCCGCTACCAACTATTTTTGCCGAACACATCCTAAATCTACTCACAATAATCACTGGCCATAATCAAGACCACTACTTTACGATTAGGTAAGAAAGAGATAATAATTTGAGAATGTATAAAGGTAAAAAGGTAAGAAACTATGTTTTATGAACATATTTAGTTATTATATTTTTTTATATATATGATTTACCATTGATATTTACCATGGAACTTATATATATTACTAACATATACTATTTTGAACGGCAATAGTCAGGAGGTAGATATATGACTCTTTTTATGGGTTATTAACTTGATATGATAACACACTATGCTTTGTACACATTTGATTGTTTAAATTAATTTTATACACAATTTACTACTAAAATAACATTTATGTTTAAAAAAACACCATATTATTATTATTATTATTATTATTTATTTTTTTTATTTTTTTTTTACTTTTTTACGACTTTTTAAATTGTTTTTTAAAAAGTTGTTTTACAAAAAAATTTCATTATATTTTTAACTTTTTTAAGCCTTTTAATCCTTTTTACACTTCTATTTATATTTTTCGCGTTTTACATATTTATTTAAATAATTTTTTTTAGATCAAAATAGAAAACTACTAATATAAATGTTACCAAAACTTTCATCTTTTTCTATAAATCAAAACTCATCTAGGAAAAAATATATGTTAAACGTGATGGAATTTTATCTCAAAAAAGAGTAAGTTAAAATGTACTTTATTTAAAAAAAGTACTTTAAATGTGACGAAATCTTTTGATGGACGTGTTTTGATTTACAAGAAGATATAATTTTTAATAGCATTTGTATTGATACTTTTATTTCCATCTAATAGTAATTTACATAACTTAGCTAAACGCTAAACGTGAAAAACGTAAATAGGAATGTATATAAAAAATTATAAAAAAAAATATTTTAAAAAATATTTTTCTTTTTAAAAAAAAAGTGAATAAAAAGTAATAAAAGAAATAGTAAAACAAGTTTTAAAAATAAAGATTATATAAGTTTGACAAAACATTTAAAAAGTTGTCAAAAAAGCTTAATGATGTTTATTGAACAAAAAATATCACTTGTAAGGAAAATCTGTGTTTAAAAAAATATATCAATGATCAATTATGTACAATGAACATGGTTTATTGCTCTATATATTATTAACCCAGCAGAAGAATAGCCAAAAACCGACTAAACTGGCTATTACTTACTAAATAGTATATTTAAATATCATATGAGTTTAATGGTAAAACATGTACCAAAAAAAATTACAGTAATAAAATGTAGCCTGTTACCTTATCTAGTCATTACCCCTTAGAATAATTATAACATTTATATTTTAATACTTACTAAGTTGCGACAATATACGTGTATAACTATGATAGAATGAAAACATATACACTGATCATGGGCTTAAATAGTTCTGTTGTTTCCTTACCTAGATTTCAGCCCCAAAGATTGTATCTAAAGCATAGCCCAGGTAATTAAATAAGCACATCCCAATAGGCAATAGCAATAAGGATCAAGGAGCATTAACTATTAACCTAAAATGGGATACTACTAATAAGGATTAAGAAGTATCTACTACTAACCTAAAATGGTATGCTATTGGCACACCCTATAATCTACTCCAATCTAAACAACTCTTTATAGCGCTAGCCTATATAGCATACAGCAAACAGAAACGATGAATTGGGCAAAAATTCTAAGACCAATAGATTATTATGAAGAGTTATAGTAAAAAGATCATGATAATAAACATCATCATATTACAAAAGAGCTTAAACTTTATGAGATTCAACAACATCCATATTCCATCTCTTTCTCGTTGATTAAAATGAAACTCTATATGATTCAAAAGACACATGACTAGTGTTCCAATGCACTTCGAAGGGAGACATGAGGCGCATTGGTTGAGGAGGAGGAGGCCCTACTTATCTGATCATAATTTAGAAACAACACAATTACAGTTATGTCATCGTGGAAGTGACGCCGCACCCGCTTGTCGATTTTCCGGAGATCAGAATATCGCATTTCACGCTTTTTTGCTGCTTCGTGCAGAGCCGCTTTCACCAGCCTCTTTGCTATTCCCTGCAAACATCCAAAAAAAAATTATATGTTGTTTCATCCATGTGCCTCCTACTATACCGACAAGTCAAATATAGCATGATATACATACATACATACATACATGTCCACAGATACGCAAACATATACATATGCATTTAAGATACGACACGACAATGGGCGTAACGTGTCTGAATTACTCGTATACTAAACATAGACCACATAGATAAATGATAGCCAAAAATGGAAAGAGATATAACTACAAGGGGTGAAGATGAAATTAGAAAGTAGAAAGAGTAGGAAAGCTTACAGCGCGTGGATTATTATGAACGATTTCCACGGCTTCTTCATTACCCAAGTGTTCCCATAAACCATCAGAAGCAAATATGAGAAAAGAATCACTTGGTTGAATGTCGTGAGTAAGGATTGATGGAGTAGCTGACATGATTGGCATAACCGTTGCTTCAGGAAGTCTGAACTTTGGTAAAATTTGATCGTTATTGTACTCTGTGTGTTTCATATAAACATCCCCAATTGACCTTGAAACCTAATTACCAAAAAAAAAAAAAATCATCAACAAACATAATTACCATAAAAAACATATCACCATCTATTTCAATCCTACAAAACAATCATTCTTGAGCTAAAACAAGCAATTTTTTTGGATAATTTCACATGCTAACATTGATTCACCTCGAAAAAAACCATCAACTAAACTTAAAACATCTCAAAACATGTAAAACATAAAACAAAATAAAAAATCATCAACAAACTTGTTCATAAGGCCTCCGAAAAAACAATTACGTGTACCAATTGTCCGGTTGTTCATAATAAGCCACTATTTTGACCATAAAAGATTTTTCCATTTGATTACGTTATTTCCTCCAATCGTTGTTCTTCGATAAGTGGGTCCCACCTTGTCGCATCTTTATCTAATCCCACGTCATATAAATCCATACCCACAAATCAAATATGTTATAAATCTTAATGTCTGTCCAATAAGCACTACCCTTGAGAAAATAATATAATTGGGTATAAGCTACAAGACCATATTTCTTTTTCCATCTTTTTTACACATAAGTTTACATCTGATCATGGGTATGCACTTAAGAGTGATTAATAATCAAACCGATCGCAAAAATAAATCTTTTTTTACATAAATGAATACATGGTAAGAATTATCAGCAAACAAGATACAGTGATATAGTTAATTTCCAAAAAAAAAAAACATTAAAAATAACCTGAATGATGCCTTTGACCCTCCAAACTCCATGTTTCAAAGCAACAATCTGTGGATCATGTGGGTGTAAATTCTTTAACTCGTGTCTAACTTCCTCAAGATTCGCATTATGCTCTGATGACAACTGAATAGCTGCCATTCCTCCAGTGTTACCAACTTTTTTACCAAGAACAACACGTGAATCTCCAAGATTGGCTATGAAAAGAGTCTGCTGATATATAACTCCAACTAAGCAACACGATCCAACGGTTGCAATGCTAGGACGCGTGTTAAATAACTCGGACACTACAGCAGTGAATCCATTCTCAGTTGCAAGAAACGCGTTCTTTATGGTATCTGGAGTCACCACACCATAATCCTCGGTAGATCTTGCTGCAAAATTTAATGAGTATCTCCTATTGGTAAACGTTTATAATAATACCCTTCAATAATTACAAAATAAAAGAATCTTGCAGGCAGATTTAGGGGATGTTTCTTTATCTTTCCTATTAAGTCCTGTATATGGGTAATGAATGATATTGGATGTTGTATACATAAGGTATGTTTCTTTTCTAGACTGGATATTCCAAAAAAGAAATCACAATATTCACAAAATTTAACATTTGAGGAATTGAGAGGAAAAAGAAGTAGGAGAAATAGGTAAAGGGTTAGTGTCTTTATACATTAAGACACTATGTTTGGCTTTGACCCATCAAGTCATTCTACCGATTAAGTCAAAAAGAATTCCCCAAATTAAGTGCTTGACCCGATTAAGCAAATTAAGTCAAAAAGAAAACCCCGGCAATGAGATCAATATTTTGTAATGATTATCAATGGGAGATAGCTAAAATTTGGATATCAGATTATCAATTTTGCATAAACATTCCTTGAATCACAAGCTGTAATCATGAAATATCAATGTCAAATTGTCGATTGTGATCCATTTGTAGAATAATTATATGCTAGATTCGAAGCAAATAGTGATTAGATGAAAGAGAGGTAAACCTTGAAAATTCCTGAACAAGTTGTCACAAACGTATCGGGCGACATCAGGTCCGCCATGACCATCATAGACGCCAACAAATGTACCGAAAGGACCAGACTCGATCTGGCTTTGGTCTTCAAGCACCTGGTTCGCCTGAACGACGGCCATGGAGTAATCTCCGCCACCGTATTTTCCGATATCTCGATACCATAACAATCCATCTTTTTCAAAGTCATCGCCATCGCCATTATAATTACCATTGACACCGGAAGCAGCGCCTGTTTCGCCACTGTTAGTGAATGGCTTCCAACACACCGAAAGGAGATTCATGAATCCTTCTGACATCCCACATTTCTCGCACGGAATCCCCTATATATCAAACCCCCAAATAATTTATTTTCAACATAATTAATGAAGTGGCATCATGATAAGTTTTCACCGATAAAGAGTCTTGAATTTCTTAAATTCAAATCCTTTACTCCAAATCTTGACAAGTGACGTATGTTAGAAACACCCAAATAGAAAAACTTCAACAAGAATCGTACAACTGGCGAAAAACAACAACACCCAAATTAAAACAAGGGCGGCTATCTGTTTATTTTTGCAATTATACCAAATCTACGAATTAGAGATTCTTGATTTTGATTGTTGTTCAAATCTGGGAAAAATGAGAGAAACGGAAAGCTGGGCGGCTTTGGTTTTGGTTCTGGTTCCTTGAGGGAAAACCTGTGTGAATCTTGATTGAATTGAAATCGAAATGGATTTTATGGTGGAGAAGGTGGAACCCTAATGGGAGGAGGGGGGTGTTGGGTGGTGGAGGAACAAGAATGTGTTGAATCGATTCAATTCCGTTGGAGAGAAGTTGGCGTAGGGAAGCTTTTTGTTGGGTGTTACTTTCAATGTTTCTCCTTCTTTCTGATTTCCTGTTTACGCGTTTTTTTACACACGACCATTAATTCTCTTCTTCGCACGTGGAAGGAATCATGGGGACCTTCGAGTCGTTTCTTCAAATTCAAGGGGGCTTCTATGTGTAAAAATATATCAAGCTTGGTTGACACTCCTATTTTTTACTCTATTACGCTGTGTTTTGTTGTGTTTTAGGCATAAGAGCCTTAATTCCCGTTTGATAGTTGTTGACGGAGAAAATGCCGATTGGAAAATGTCTGTTTGGGAAAAAGTCATGACTAAGTAAGAAACCATGATGTTTGATTGTACATCTGACTGAATGTGTTGACCGATAAAAAATGATTATTTTATCGATAAAAAATGACTATTTTACCCTGATGCGTTATACAGTGATGAGTGATGATGAAGTTGATGAGAAGTTATAAAAACATACAAACTCAAAATATAAAATACACACAAATCAATTGAAAATCCAAATAAAAAATGGTTAAGTGTTTTTATTTTATGAATGTTTATTTATATATATTGTATGATTAAACTTTAATATATAATTCTTGAAATTTAGGTTATATAACAAAAAATGGTTAAGTATTTGTATTATGGGAAAGTTGATTTATATTATATTATCTAATTTTCAATATAAAATTCATAAAAATGACCCTTACAAAATAAAAGCCCAACTCAAGAATTGTTGGATGTTAATCCTCACTTTACCGTAAACCTAAATAGTTAGTCTCATCCTAATTAATTTTCGCCGTCACTCTCTAAATGGAAGACGAAGCAGCCGAAGAAGGAAGAGCACCTCTGTTACAATTCATGTGTCTCCTTCTCATGGCCATCATCCTCTGATTCCGCTCTATTTTGGCTCGTTCGAGAAGGCAGAACACAGACTCGTAAATTTTGCTTGTTGCAGGTGAATAAAATCGGTGTTGAAAGAGAGAAGAAACTGGGAAGGAGGCGCTGAAAATTGGAACGTGGGGTAAGGGCATTTTTGGAAACATCTCTTTCTTTCTCACTCAGACGATTTCCCTCATTTTTTCCGCTCAGATCTAGCTTACCGAGTCAGACATCCAAAATCTGTTTAATAAACAACTTTTGCTGACCGAGTCAGCCAAAAACGTCTGATCCGACTCGGTCAAACGTATATCAAACACAACTATATTCTTTTGAAATTTTTTTTGATAAAGTTAAAAATTATTTTTTTAACAGAAAAATCTCGATTATTTAATATTTTGTTCAAATTAACGAAAAAGTCCTTATTTTTATTTTAACAGAAAACAACAGATTATCGTGTAAAATTAAATAACCAAGATTTTGCTATTTAAAAAAATAAATGTAGGACTTTACCAAAAAAATCCCCAAAATAATGAGACTTTTCTGCATAAAACCATATTATAAATTTTCGCATCAAATTTTATTAGAAACTACAGATGTGCTAGTAAAAGGATCTCATATTAGAAACCGATTCAAATTTATTTACATTTTTTTATTAAGGAATTTTGATTTTTCGATTCGACACTTCCAAAAACAAATTGTCTGTTAATTCGAGATAACCTAAAGAATCCTAATGAGCACATATCAAAGCATTTCCTTTTAGGAGTATTAAAGTTTGTGTTATCTATCATTGTCGGCCTTGAGGATTCAAATATCCAAGATAAGTAAAAAAAAAGACCCTTAGCCCTAATGTATAACGAATTAAATTATATAAAAATGCATACTCTATTTATGATTAATTCGAATACTGATAAATTTACTTCAAAATTACTTATGGTTGTCATACTTCAGTAATAGATCAATATAGTTAAAAAATTCAACAAAGGTAATTTCAACACAAAAATATTTCTTTGTATCTTCATAAATAGATATCATTAGTTCGAAAAATGGTTATGGCAATAAAAACAAATTTAGGGCAATAATCATATCCTAGGCCATTGTTTAGGGCAATAACCTATTGAAATCCAGTTCACCTCCAGATAGCTAAAAAGATCATACAAAAAAAGATAATCAAAAGATATATGGCTACAATACATAGCGGGGAAACACAACAAGTAAAATAATAAGAAATACGAATCACATTCGAATGCAAACTCACTCTTTGTGGAAGAATCCCACACGAGAGTAGTGGTCACGTAAGGATTGGACGCTTTAGGCGTAATAATAATGTTATCTCAGGAAATAGTGCTTGGACCTTGTGATGTACAACATCCAAATTTAAAGGTACATTTTATTTAAATCAAAGTTTGGCTTTTGGGGGATGTCACGACGTGGGAAAGGATCACCACGACATTGCAAGGCATTTTGGTTGCGGGTCACTGTTGACTCGCCACGACGTGGCAGGTATAAACCACGGCGTGGCTGCTGCTGAGGCCTTAAACCCTAATTTTTTGGGTTTTGCAACATATTTAAAGGAATGAGGAGGCTAGGGTTTGTTCACCTTCAACATCCACCACCCTCTTAAGCTCTGAAGAAACCCTAATTCCTTTTCCTCCATTTTTTAAGCTTTCTTGAGTGCTTTTGGGATATTTTTTGAAGGAAGAAGCAAGAAGGAGTAAGCCAAGGATCAGCAAGCAAGTTCCCATCTCCCTTCCTAGCACAATTTTGGACCCTTGTAAGTGTTCAAGGCTCCACCTTTTTCTTACTAGGTTGCTAGATCTTGAGTTTTGTCCCATTTTTCTTCTAGATCTTGTTAGTTGGGATGGTGAGAATTCATAAAGGTTGCAATTTTATGAATTTCTGAATCATTTGGAGTAATTCATGGTTTGGATCTTAAGTTTGGTTGGTTGTTTGAACCATGCATAAGATTTTGGTGATAATCCCCATTTTTGACCTAATATGAGTCCAAGACATGCATTGGACATGCATGTCTAAAAATCACCAACCTTTAAGTTGGTTTTAGTGTTATAAGCTCTTTTGGAGTGAATGGGTTAAGGACTTAAAGGGTTAAGTGCTTCTTGGTTGAGCTCATGCCATGTTTTTGCCGTTTGGACCTAAGATTTGAGATCTAGACCTCTTGGAGAGTCTTAAGGGATAAAGTTGGAAACTTTGTCCATCTAGACTATAAAAATGACCAAATTTGAACTTTGGAATCGGAAGATTCGGTTTAACCCATTATAATATTTTGAACCCAGTGCCCACGGCATGGCCCTAGGTTGCCACGATGTGTCGACTAGGGGTAATCGCATTTGTTTTGTCGTTTTAGGGCCACGACATGGTCAAGGATGGCCACGACATAGCGAGTCAACTTTGACCGTTGACTTTGACCATTTGCTTTTTGACCTAAGTTGACTTTTGGTTAAACCCTTAGTTGTGGAAGGTAAACTAAGGGTGTACCTTGTATGACCGTATAGGTGGTGTATAGCATATGTACACTTGACAGTAGGAGCGGTAGAAATTGATCATTTTCTGATAGGTGAGTATTCTCACTATACTATGTAGGATGCTAGTTGTCTTTATGATACTTGCATGAAAGACCTCGGGGGTAGCCTGGGGCATTTGTATAAAAGACCATGGGGGTAGCCCATGGCAATTACATGAAAGACCATGGGGGTAGCTCATGGAACTTGGTTGTAAGACCCTGGGGGTAGCTCATGGAATTCCAGGAAAAAGACCATGGGGGTAGCCCATGACACTTGTAATTAAGACCATGGGCGTAGCCCATGGCAATATATGTATGGTATGTGGTATTTTGGGAAACTCACTAAGCTTTATTCTTACGGTTTATGTTTGAAATGTTTTCAGGTACTTCCTGTTCGAAGGGGAAGGGACATGCACACAACATTCACCCGTGTACTGTATTTTATGATTTTGGGATTGTACTCTGATAACTATTTCTACAATGACATACCTTGATGGTTTTTGAAATGTATGTTGATGGTTTGGTTGATTTAAAAACAAAAAATTTTACTTATAATTTTTGGGATGTTACAAGTTGCTATCAGAGCCTTGGTTTGAGGGATTCATGCACACTCTCGGGTGTGTCTAAACTCAAACTGAGGAATCGGCAAAAAAAATCCAATTTTTTTTATAAAAGAAGGGGTGTGATGTGTGCAATCGGCCGAGCTCAAATAAGTATTTCCCAAAACAACCATACATGTTTATTTGTTCCAGTATATGTATATGTGCATATCATGCTAGATTATGGCTAAGGATCTACTCAGAATTGCACGATAAGATGCTAGGAGAGATGCCTTTGTATGCCTGTTGTATGAGCCTTTAGAACTGCATGCTGGTATGGATCTCATATGATATGATAGAGTAGCGTGATTAGGCAGTGCATTGGTCAGAACTTGATGCTCGAATGTTGCTTGGTTTGTGCTTTTAGGATGTAACATCCTATTTCGGATCTTCTGAGATTAGGGTTTATGGGCTGCAACCCGGACATGAGGAAGTGTCGGGGTTGCGACGAATTGCTGGAAGCGTAAAGCATCTCGACACCTTTCCGAGGATATGAGATTCATTGGAAATGGAGTTATATCGAGGAAGCAATGGAAGTTTGAAGTTATGGCAGGATAAGTCCTTTATTTGAAAAAGGTGTGATGAGAATTAATTTCTCTAATATCGTTTAGATTCGCAACAGATTTAGACAAACACAATAAGAAAAATGAACACACGATGAATCAAACAAGAGCTGAATGATTAATATGATCCACCTCAGAAGAGCTCGATAAAGAACTTCTACTGTAGAGGTGTGCTAGGGTTACAGTACAATCAAAGGAATAATTATCAAAAGCGTACAGAGAACGATGCATGCATGCATCTTATATACTAAACCCTAATGACTTAAACACGGCTGGACAGGCCCAAACCGTGATAACAATGGACCGAGGTAACAAACCCAATGACGCAACTCCTAGACCCAACAATCTCCCCCTTTACGTCAATTGAGGCGAGAGATCATTTCGGTTGAGTGAGAGTAGATTTCTTCACAGTCTTGAATAGCTTCGGTATGATGGCGAGAAGAGTTTGACGGAAGTCAATATACCACTGAAGCATATGCGAAAAAATTTCCTTATCAGCTTCA